ACATACAGTTGTTGTAAAAATCACCTCATTCAGATTTATTTTGAATTTTCTTTCTAGGACCTATATCTCTACTATTTCCTTTCCCGGTACCCAGGCCGTACTTTGGTTTTCTCCAACACCGTGGACTGTGTGAGGAGACTGGGCTCTTTGTTTAGGCTACTGGACTTTGACCCGTGGGTTCTTCACGCCAGCATGCAACAAAGGCAAAGATTAAAGAATTTAGACAGGTCGGGTGAAAACTGAGTGAAACGGAAAATACAAAAAACAATGAAACAAACAAAACAAACAAAAAGAAGAATAAAAACCAAGAACAAAAAAAACCACGAAACAAAGAAAAAAAAAACAGCAAAACAGATCAAAGCAACAATTAGGAACCTAATTTTGTAGATAACGTGCTTTTTCCTGTTGCGTCTTTCACGTTCTTTATTCTGCAACTTGCTTTGCGCAAAACACGAGGCGACACGCGTGTTATGTGGCCTTGGATCAGAATCATCATGATCTTATTACTATTTTTTTTTTTCATCAAAACAGTGAGTTTAGTTTACGACCTGACTGACCTATTAAACCAATCCTGATTGACAATGGAATTTCCTTTATATATAGACTATAACTGGATCGCCTTGACTGATTAAAACCCGCCCCTCTCCCCCCTCAGAGAATATTTAAAGCTAGATAGGACTTATTTTACACCAGCATAAAATTTTGGCTAATTTTTTTTCTTGCCTGTTAGATTTAAGCAAAGTGCGAGTGGCTTACTTCTGGCTACAGATGTGGCCGCGAGAGGTTTGGACATACCAGCTGTTGAGCATGTAATTCACTATCAAGTCCCGAAGGACCCTGATGTAAGTACGTGCAAGTATGTGTGTACGGTTGGTTAGCTTGTGTCGGTGGTTAGCCTGTGCCGTAGGCGGGAACGGAAGCGATTGCTTTTTGGCGGCAGTGCTTTCATTCTCTGCGAAACTCTACCTTGACAAAAGGCTTTGGGAGGCACGCTGCTTCAACCGACCATGCGTTGACCAAGGTGTGGGCTACAAGTCTCAACTGTAAGAGAAGCTCAACCAGAATGTGGATAGCAAAGTTCGAACGCCGTTGACGCCCGAACTCTTTCTCTAAATTTATTTTATTGTATTTCTTTACTTCTTTTTAAAACTTCATTTTCTACGTTTTTGTTTTGTTTCCAATTTGAGTTAATGTGTGAGGTTTACCTACCGAAATCAAAACATAATTCATTTCAGTTAATTATTTTTGATTTAAAAAAAAAAATTGACTCTGTTCTCCAAATGCAGTTTATATGGAAGGATCAGTTTGTTATCGTTTATCGTCCTCAGTTGTATCTCGTTTAATAATGAACTGTTGTGTAATGATGTAACCACAATGTAAGTATTAACTTTAGCGCAACCATCTCATGTGATCCTGCGTTCCTAAATTCTTTCTCTGTGTTCGTTAACAGCTTTACATTCACCGCAGTGGACGGACAGCTAGAGCGAGCAGGGAAGGTCTGAGTGTCGTTCTTGTTGGCCCAGAAGAAATGGGATCATACAAGAAAATTATGAAGACGCTTAATGGAGGTGATGTGTCTTTATTATCTCCAACGTATCTCTTTAACAGTTAAACTCTAAAAGGTTATTTGGAAATCCCCCTCAGTTTGAGGTGCCATTCGTCTAAATTTCCTTTTTAGTTAGATAAATCTTTACGCCTTAACGTTAGTATGCATATTCTCCATGCATACTGTTCTCTATATATTTCTTAAGGTGTTAACATGGAGATTTCGTCTCACAATCAAGAGCTTCTTTAGTTGGTGATCATTTCCTCTATTCTCGTGGCTTTAAAGAGAACCTGCAGTTTTAAAACAAATACTGCTAAAAAGGCTCTAAATGTATCAACTCAAGATATCTGGTCCTTAAAACCATACCTGTAACCTTGTTAATTTTATTTTCCGCTTTCAAAACTGGCCTTCACGGCAAGTTCGAACTACCCGCGTTCGCCATCTTGTTAGGTACGCAAGGCATTTTGGGTTGATGACGTGTAATGGTTGCTCCGTTCATTCGTAGTTGGGTTATCCTACCTAATGCGTGTACGGATAGCTTTGTTAACAGGAGAATGATTGGATACCCATTTGATAACAAGGTTAGAGGTTAATTTTAAGTACCCAATATCTTGTGTTTGATACATTTATAACCTTTTTAAAAATATTTACTTGGGGGTGACAGTCGTTAGGAGAAGTTGGAGGCTGGTCACTCTTATGGATCACATGGTTAAGAAAATTTGTCATGGCACGAAGATGATACCCCTCTAGATGATAAATATTTCTTTTAGCTGCAACCAATATTTTAGGAGGAAAAGGTACATCGCAATCGACTCTAGGAGTTTACTGAGCCCGACTACAATTTAACCCTTTACACCCTTAAAAATCAGTTTGCATTTTCTCCACACCATTTTCCATGAATTTTCTATGGAACTAACAAAGAGAATTTGTTTAACAATCAAGAGTTTCTTTAGGTGGTCGTTCCCTGTATTCTCGTGACCTTTATGTTTGATTCAGGAGTGATGCTGTCAGAAGAAACTAGATGCCAGTCATGAATAGGCGTTTAAGGGTTAACTTACAGTCTCTCGTGTCGTTCGTTTGTTTGTTTCATTTTTTTGTTCAGATTTGTTTTCTTGATTTTATTCTTTTTAAAATTTTGTGTTGCAGGAAACGAGCTAGACTCCTTTCCAGTTGATGTGTCTTTTATGTCCTCCATTAGGAAAAGAATTTCTCTCGCCAAGCAAATTGACAAAGAAGAACACAAGTAGGTGAAGATGAAAAAAAAAAAAAAAAGAAAGAAAGGAAAAGAGAAATATGGCAATTATCTTTTGGTTAGCCCTTCGTTTTTTGTTTTGTTTGTTTGTCTTTTCGCGTAAGAAAAAGGCCCAAATTGATAATCGAGCTTGACAGCGCAGCATTTTTCGTACAAAGAATTGTTCACGCAGTTACGGATGTTCTCTCCTTCATTCTCAATTCCTTCCAACCCTCCCCCCCCCCCTCCCCTCCCTTTCTCTTTGTCTAAACTCCCCCTTTAATGAAAGCCATCGAACCATATTCACAGATTTAGGCGCAAAAAGTCAAGTAATGACTGGATACTTGCCTCTGCCAAAGCCATGGACATTGAAGTTGACGAAGATTTGTATCTTTTTCGATGAGATGATTCATTCATTTACATGCACATTCTTCGCTCCTGTGTGCTATCACAAGGTCTGGGACTAACTAGACTACCAGCCTCAACATCAGTCTTAGGTGGTTTGGGCTTGAATGCATTTATTGTCAGAAAACATTTCAACGGAACGGGCGGAACTGGTGTTCTGGAACTTTACTGTCTTGAAGGTTTGATGTCACATTTTATAAACTGTCCTGTTCAGTTTATTTTCCTTAAAAGAGTTTTTTACAGACTGGAAGATCTCGGAGATCAGGGAGAAAGGAAAGAGCGACAAGTAAAGCTGAAGCAATTGAAAGGTAATCAACCTTTAGTTAAGGCAGACAATGGTTGTACTGACAGTCCCACCAAAAATAATGGATCTTGCAGGCTGATAATATCTTAGTGAAATCAAAATGGGTTACATTTAGCTTGTAGTAGTAGGGTGGGGTGAGGATTATTGTTCCCATGGTTCTTACGTTTGAGTTCTATGTGAAAGTATGAAAAGGTAGTAAACAGTCTTGATTTCCAGCCTTGTGTGGGTCAGCGTTAGCTTAGGCTGTGTCAAGTGCTCCTTTCATTTATTGGTGAAATTTTTATACAAACTATATCAGCGCCGTTTTATTTTACAGCGGAACTTACTGGTTTGCTGAAGACACCTCTGATTCCTGCTGGTTTTAGTGGAAAGTACCCGACTAAAACTGGATCCCTTATAATGCCAGGGATCAAAGGTATTAAGTGAATAGAGAAACAAGAGTATTTTGAGGGACAAAATGATGTGTTGCTAAACACATCGTTTTGTGATCTTTAGTGAGAGTATTATTAGTGATTTAACAGAGCTAGTGTCAACTGAGGCTCCTTTTGTTTTGTTTTGTTTGTTTTTTTGTTTGTTTGTTTGTCTTTTATATTCTCTTTTCCTGCTGCCATCCGCTGGTTTTCTGGTCCGTATGTTTTTTTTTTTAATGAGATAACTGCTTTTTTCCTTTCCTAGTCATGTGCCAATTGTTTAAATGTTCGTTTTATTTCGGTATTCACAGCCGACACGAATTTGGAAGATAATGAAAAAGTGGCTGTTGAAGATGTAAGAAGAAAGAAAAGAAACAAGAAAAGCAAAACGTAACTTGCATTCTTCAAACGAGGTCGACAACTGATCGTGAAAGAAGAAGGGAGATTAAAAACACGAAATGGAGAAAGATTCTTACTTGTAACAACTGGACTGGAAGAGAAAGAGTTGATTTGAGCAAGGTTGACTAGTCAGTGGTAGAATAAACTAAAATCTCGTCTTAAAGTCTTTGACCCCGATGCTATATGAATACAATGTAACTTGAAGCAATGGCGTTCATACATCTTCGGGACACCACCCTTCAGACTCGCGGTATAATACGACTGGACAAAGCAACTAGTCACAGTCTGACAACACATGTCCACTTTGCGCATTTTCTTGATTTGTGATTTGAATTGATTTACAGATGTTTTGTTCTTTACTCAGTGGCCCGAATTTAAAAGTTAGGATTGTTTCAGTCACATATTGCCGTTGGTCATATGAAGGTTTCAAGAATGGGTCGGAAAGGAACTGAAAACGCTGTTTTAAAGGGAAATCATTTTTCACATGCTTGACAAATGTTGTCCACAAACCTTTCGCTAGTTCATATATATAAAAAAAATTTTAAAAAAATATGTAGATGTGTAGTAAGCAGGAGATTCAGTAAAAGCCGGTCTACCGCCGTTTGTTGAGCAGGGTCTCGTGTTTAGGTTTCACCTTACGCCTTTTCTGGCACATTCGCTTATTACATCATCGGCAGCTACTTAAATGTATTGAGACCCCAGAATGTGAGAGAAATCGTTGGAAGGCTGTACGAAGATTTTAATATTAAGAGGGCCAAACTACACGTAGGTGTGCATGGCGTTACTTGAGGAGACGTGAAGAATAACCCTTTTCCAATAAATAAGTCATTTGCTGAGAAATCACTCTAAGACTCGTTCACACTAAACTTCCCTTGAATCTTTGCCGTTTAGTTTATGTGTGAATGTTGTTTTGGTATCAATGCTATGAGAATATGTTACTATGTAAGTGTACCACTCCACACCCGGGTGAAATTTGCGATTTGACGTGAATACGCGCAGGGCTTAGTCGTATGTGAAATCTGATGACCCGATTCTACCTTGTCTTTCTCGGTCCTGATGACCGATCAACATCCCAAACTGTAACCCAAGACTGGTGTGGTTAGGTGGCTTGATTTGTGATCTTAATTCCATTAGGACAAACTAATCCACAAAGCACCAGTTTTAACTTATGGCTCGGTCTACACTGTACGCTTTTATGAGCCGTGACGCTGTGCAGCATTGCCTTCCTTCTTTACGAGTTATTTCATTTCGAACGCAATTTGCATTGTCATGGTAAAGTGAATCTTTGTTTTGTTTTGTTTTGTTTCTTTTGAAGGCTCTACTTCCTCCACTCTGTCGAGTGCGGGCCAGATCTCAATTCCCAGACAGATGCCGGGTATCGCTAAGGTTTTTTATGACATGTTTGACAAACGGCATCCGAAATGAAAAGAAAAGTGCGAAAATGAGAGGCAACTAGATCTCTACACAATTCTTCATTTTAACACTTGCACATCAAGGCGGTAAAAATCCACATTTTCTATGATAATGATTATATTTTATATTATTATATGTATTACACCATTATGCGAGCCAAATGCTGCATGGAGACAAAACCCTTGATTTAGTGGATCACGTTCTGCAGAGTCGTAATCCATCGATCTGAATTCAATTAATTTGGCCTGCTGGTCACTGGACTTGTAATGAGCTTGCAAATGTTACAACTTGAATATAATAAAACCTATGAAGAGTTAACAATAATCCTCACACAGAACTTTCAAACTGGTAATGTTCTCTTACTTGGACAATCGGGTCTCTGATAGGCAGTCTAGTTACACTTCTTACGCTCTCATTATTCTTGCTAGCAAATGAGATTCTCGATAATGGATAAGTTATCATTCTCTTAAATGCGGCACGGAATTTCTTCTTAAGGTATATCAGGAGCCACGGGTTAACAACGCTGTTTGCATGTCCACACCAATAGCATAACAGCATAAAATAATATGGCAGCGATTCCCGCACACTGAAGTCAATGGCCAAAATCATATGATACGCATGCGCTGGAAGCCAGCAAAGTGCAAAGGCAACAACGACAGCGATCGACATATGAATAACTTGACGCTTGGTAGCATGGGCCCGAGTTCTTGCGTGATTGTTGATGGCAATGCCCGGCAGTTTGTGCTTGTGCAGTGTGTGACAGACGTGTCCATAGAGAATGCACATGGTAACTAGGGGCAACAAGTAGATGGTGACTACGATATAAAGAAAGATACCTCTCAAAGCTGCTTGAGTCTCGCCAAACTGAGTAAACTTAAATTCTATCCTGGAGTTCTTAACTTTGACTGTGATCAGCCATGGAGTCATCAGACACATTGAAGTGATCCAAATTGTGGGAACCAAGATCTTTTTGTTCCTAAAGCGAGGGAACTTTTGCATGGGAAGGACAATCCCGAAGAAGAAGTCAAAAGCCACGGCTGTTAGAGAGAAGACGGACGCTGTGACCGCCACGAAGAAAACAAACATGATGAGCTTGGCAAGTAATTCACCAAATGTTCCATCGATCCACAGATTATCCAAAATGATTAGTTCCATCGACTGAGGCATGACAACAGCTGTTACGAGTAGGTCGGCCACAGCGAGGTTGACGTACATGAAGCTTGTTAATCTTCTTGTTTCTGGCCTCTTGTACAGAATATAGATCACCAAAATGTTTCCAACTAAGGCCATTGAAATGATTGCAGCGTATAAGATGGCGAAGGTGAGTTTAATACTTGATGGATACGAGAATGGAGGCTGCGCCGTGGAGCCTGAAAGAGAATGAAGTACCATGGTTAAAGCAAAAACAAAGGAAATAGGTCTGCAACGCGCGCGTACACCGAAAGGCGACATAGATGGTGACAATATGCAGTAATAATTATTGGAAAAACATCCATTAAACCCAAGCTTTCTCCATCATTGAAGAGTGCATCAATCATGTCATAAGGGGATATGCAATTGATAGGAGGAAAATGTCAAAGCTGTTTGTGCTTTGCGTTTTTCACAAGTACTGCAGCAGCAACAATGGTAGCGTTAGCTATTTTTAGGACACTTTCAGGCGCTATTTGTGAAGGTGGTTTTCCTACCGTTATCAGCCTGCGAGGACGTCAACATTTTTGGATCTGCAGCTTCCTAGTCTCTACTGTTTGAAGAAGTCAGCATAAAATATCTGAATACTTGGTTGACGGGATAAGCTCAGCTCTAAAAAAGCTGAGTCTTTATTTCACTCAACGTTGCGTTCTTTGAATATTGGGTCTGCCAGGAAAAAAAGTGAATTTCAGGTTATCATTGTCAAAATTACAAAAATCTAGATGCTTACCACAAACGGCGCTGTTCAGCTAGCCTGCTTAACAGCCTCTTTCAGTTGATTTTTGTTTGTTTTTTGTATTTGTTTTTGTCTTGTTTTGTTTTTGTTGTTTTTATTGGTCAAAAATGTGCTGCACATTTTTTCAGAACTAAAATTTTGTCAATCAGTTATTTCGATAATGAGGGAAAAACCTGAGATCCGAGATAAAAATACCAGCAATCGTGTGATACTGAAAGAAAAGTGGGTAAGTTTCGATTTCAAGACGTCAAGTCGAGGAATTTTTTGCTCGTCATTTGCAGTACGTGTCAAACTTCGTCTTTTTTAATCATCGTAAACCAATTTTTGGATATTCTTATCATATTTTAAAGATATTCTCTCTCCCTAAAAATAAATGATAGATAAAACAATAAAAAAAGTAAGAAAACTGCCTTTTAAAAAGACAAACCCACCCCAAGGAGAGCTTTCCATCTTTATTTACGATTTTTAGCATAATAGAAAAGAATCGACAAATGGCGTTATGCTCTGGTAAGGATAAATAATGAGGCATGTTTTGCTTGAAGTTGCCATGAATTGGTTAAGGCCAACTAAAAAAAAATTCAGGTTCTTGTGTTTGTTTTGTCAAGAAAAAACGCTTTGTGTGAAAGATTGCAAGATGCTTGTACATTGTCCGTCAAGTTTCTTTTCTTGTTTGTTTAACCTTGATCCTGACAACTCGTTACACCTCGTTTCCCTTTCAAAAAGGTCTCGAATCAATATTACTGAGTGATGAATAACAGTCTTCGAAAGCGTTTGCAAGACGTTTATACTCACCTTTTCCCCACGAACACGGGGGTTTTCATCTTTCAAATATATGTGCTGAGAATCTTGAAGTAATTTCCTTACTTCCTAGGCTCGTAGTCTTTTCGCATCGAGATTTATTCCTCACATGGAAATGAAGGATATAAAGTTTGGCTTTCTGTACATCAACTGTTTATAATTGGCCGTTTTTCCTTAGTTCTTTGCTGGAATTATCCGGTCATAAACCCATTGACGACGACAGCTTAGTTAAAGAGATGAAAATGGAAAATAAAAACTTAGCTAAGAAACTTTACTCTTGGGGAAGCCATTTGCCACCCAAATTATCGAATGATCGAAGCGCCAATTTTATGTCAACCTTTTTTTTTTCGTCATCTAAGTTATTTTAGAGACGATTTCAGCGGATTTATCGCATAACGATAGAAAAAGATGATGAAAAACACATGGACAGTAAAAGTCATAAAAGTAAATCAAATTATCAAATAAAACAAAAGTGCTTTATCTTTCCTTGTACTATTGAGAACCCGGTTTGACGTTGTGATATTCGTTCCTACAAGGGAGAACTAAGACTGACTAAAGAAAAAATTGGGAAAGTGGTTTTCTACCTTCAAAGATATCTTGATTCAATTATAATCCCGTAGATGCAAGAGTTCGCATTCCAAGTTTACATCTCGAGGGTCCTTTCGGCTGCTAACATGGCTTAAGCATGATCACTTAATTACAACGACGTTTGCCCGTAGGGGCTTTATTTTAGGTGCCCATCGAGGCAAATCATGGTTCGTTCTGTCGTATCTTTGTTGAGTATTTGTTTTTCATCTCATTAGGAGGCCAATTTACTTTTATTTCTTTTACTTTTATTCCTCATGAAGCGTGTTAACAAACTCGAGGCAGTTAATATTCGAAGTTAGAGCAAAAGACGATTTTTAGGAGAAGAGAAAGTTGATGTACCGCAATGTACACTGGGATTCAGAAAAGAGCGAGACCATGTCCTTTGTTGTTGTTATGCAAAAATAGGGACCTGGTTGGGAGTGTGTAACACATACTTAGTGCTATTTCACTTGAGTTTTGAGCCCTGGTCACGTCAAATTTTGTTGTTGTTACTGTTTTTTTTTCCTTTTATCGTTTTTTCCCATTCAATTCACATTCTTCTTCAAAGGATATTTTGCTCAAAGTAGATGTGCTCAATTCAAATCGATAAAACGGATACCCAGAACAAAGTAAAACGTAGCGACGTAGCTCTTACATTCAAATCGATAGCAGGTCGAAATACAGAGATGATACCCAGAACAAACAGTCTGCCATTTTGAAAACCGTGGGGGGCTTGGGGAAAGGTTTATAGACTTACCGACACCACAATGTGATGAGTACAGCCTTGCTGGAAGGAATGCACAATAGGCACAAAAACGCAAGTGAAGCAAATAATTTTCATGAAAGTTATGTATATTTTATGTACACTAGGTATATGTTTGAGTTTCATACTGGTAAGTTCCAGAGCGCATTTTGGGATTCGACCGAGTAAAATTTCAGAAAATTTCTAGACTGGGTTTGCTTCTATAAATATTAAAACGAATTTCCTTCTCTATTTTTCCCCTTTTTTCAGCTTTGTGCCTGTCCACCCTCCTCCCCTGTCCACCCCCCCTCCCCTGTCCACCCTCCTCCCCCTCCTCTCCTCCTCAGGTGATTACATTAGTCTCAACCTGTGATAACAGCTGATTTGCATTTGCATGTTGGTCTCATCTACCCATTAAAATAAACATTTTTGCCTCTCCTTTTCTCTCATTTCCTCACCACGTTACTTAACTATTAGAGGATATTGTTAGCTTACGTACGGAAACGTGGCATGTTAAGACTAAAAAAATAGTTCACGGGCACTCGTGCTTGCAGGTCACTGATAGCAGAGTTTACACGGAAGAAATATTATTTCAGGAATTAAACCACTGTATTACAAAAATTGCGAAGAATGGCCGATTACAAGAATCGATCGAGTGACGATAATATCACTGTTATCCCTGACAAAAGACTGCTGCGCCTCTAGGAATTTTAAGTGATGACGCTAAAAGTATGACTCTGTCACAGAATGAGTTCCCATAGTTGATGCGAAAACGTTTCGGCGCATTTAACTCACTACGCGCCGCAACGGCGATGTCTGTCCGTTTTGGAGGAAACTGCAAATCCGATCAGGTGAAGGGTGTAAGCACTCCTGAGCACTTCAACACAGCTGTCAAATAATATCTAGTTGAAGACGTTTTTTCTAACCTGTTGTTGGTTATATCCTCTGGAGTGTTTGATGTTTTCAAGAGTTGATCACACCCTTTGTGGATTGACCAAGGGTAGTTATGGCTGTAAAAGAAGAAAGCAGTTCTTTTGTGACATGAGATAAAAATTAAAAGTAACCTAGAGCACTCGCAGCTATTCCCATTGCCTTCGTTGGTAAATGTAAATCAGTCGTCAAAAAACATCTGGAACGATTCCGTAAGACCCACAGAAAAAAAACAAGAGAAAAAACAAACAATCTCTTAAGAGGAAATCTTGCATCGACTTACAGGATCAGAGCACAGTTACGAAGGAGTTTTATGACATTGCACTCTATATCACAGCGAGTTAATCTCAACAAAACACGAGATCTGATTGATTGAACTAAAATTAAAATTGACTATCGCGCCCCAGAATCTCTGGAAAACTGAACACAATGGGTGACAAACTACTTTATAAACAATCATTGTCGTGAGACAGAATGTCGATCCTCGATGGTTCATCAGATCAGTGAGGCTTTAAATACTTGAACTCCGGGTGGTATGTGTAGGCGGCCATCACCGCTAAAAATATAGGCATAATAAATGGTTTGTAATAAACAGAAATGGTCTAATTGTCTTTTGGAGAACGGTTTATCTTATCTTAAGAGATTTATTTAAAATACAAATAGACAAGTCGCCTTGGGTGAAATGAAATATTTAAACAAAAAATGTTTTACACAATTCAGAAACTGTGTAGCCACCCTTGTTGAAATGATTCAATAAAAACACGAGTGGCCAAGTGTTAAATGAAATGGTTCATGACAAACGATTCAGCTAATTGTACTTTGGTTAAGTGACTTGACACAAACGGTTCAGAGTAGTGTGAAATGGCTGAAGCTATCGGCAAATGGTTTATCGAAGCCGCAATGGTTTAGTTCGCATCAATCTGGTCACCGTAAAGTGAAACAGTTTAGCGTAACGACAAATGGTCTAGTATAAACCGAAATGGTGTAGTGTTACAGCAGTTGGTTTACGCTGTAACCGCCAAGAATACAAAAGTGAAATGGACAAGTCAAGCTTGAAATGAAACAGTCTATGTGGGGTCTTACGTCACAACCCTACAATTTTTATAGTTTTTAGGCGCCCTTCAGTTGTAGTTTCGTCGTCTTAAAACAATGAATCGCTCTATCACGTTTCCTAGCTATGGTTCTGACTGTCTAGGCTGTAAATGTGCTGTCGCGTAATATGATGCATTTAAAGTGTATTTTTGTCATTCCTTTTGTTTCAGATTCTTATTTTATCTTGAGGTAGTAAAATGGAGAATTCTTACCATGGTCACGCGTAACCATGGTAAGAATCCTCCATTTAAAGTACAGCAGTTTTCACTACAAACTATATAAAACTACATAGTTTTTAACGATATAGTAAAATATATTATTGTGAAATATAAGCTTAAGCTTTCTTTCATTTTCACTAACTGATTATTAAGCTACTGAATGTTCAGCAGCTCGATAAAAACGGTTTCATCCGAAATATCATTTACTTACTGATGTTGCAGCAAGATGGTGAAGGTATAAATTTATTAGCTAACAAACTAAAATAGGCAAACATAAAAAGTGATTGTTACCTGAATAAGGCTCGCTAAGTCTTGCAGACGAGGCTACAGAAATAATTTCTTCCTTTGTTGAACGCCGAGTGGACGAGATCACTGTCGAATAGGTTAACAACCGTCATGACTCCTCTAATAAATTCATTTTCGATTTG